CGATTGCACAAGGTTTTTACATACATGACATTTGAACTTAAACAACTTACATTTCAGACGCAAAAAAGTGAGAAACTGATGAATGCTTGACTTTTTAGGGTTTCATGTCGCGATAAAATCCCAACTTATGCTGAGACAAAATTTGAACCTCAGGGTCATACGCTAGGACTATAATCCAGAGATAAGAAACCTTATTATAAAAGGGTAGAACGTATTACAAAAGAGGCGAGTACTAATGGTTTAGTTATATTAAATCGTGTGTTTCCATTATCACTCGTGTGTTTTCCTCAGGAGTTACATTCTCTGGTCCTAAAGAGTATTTTTGCTTACGGTTATTATGTGAGCTATTTTCATATCGACGAACACATGTATTTACTTGACTGTTCAACCACGACCAACGGAAATTTCTGTGGCCATTCTCTCTAAATCACGTGTGAGTCACATTTTACACACAAAAAGTGAGGTGTTGAATAGCTCTAGAAATGACATCAAACTGTGGACTGCACTCAAAGTGAGGGAGAGAGAATGGTAGATTTAAGGTCCATCATCATGTTAGATCAGGACGCTCACCTGAACTCGTGCTAGACCGTATCATCTGCCAGCATATATTCAATCAGTATTTGCCTAATCAATTTTGGAGAGGAAAATAACAAGTGTTGAACATATTTAGCAAGAAGATCAGCCATGCGTGTTATTGATTATGATGAAATTATTTTGAGTTTATGGTTTCCTCGTTCCGTCAAAGCTCGGGCGTTTCAATCTCTTAATGTGTTAATCCGACCTCTTAGTGCTAGAAAGGTCCTGTAACTCATTTGGAACCGTGGTAACACTGGTCATATTATCTCTTGTTTGCCTTGTAGATTGTGCAAGAAGGACCTGTGTGAAGAACAGGAGACAGGAGATGCCAAAAACCATTTTCACCCATCACAGACAGTAATCTTTGTTTATTTCATTCGGATCGATAGATCCATGTTAGTTGGTGCTTTCTGAACCGGATTGCGAGTCAGCTGTCCGGTTCATCACTTCAATAAACACTACATTCCACGTCACTTTCGGTTGTTCATGCATATACTACAGTGTGTATCACTCAATTCTGTGAGAGATTGCGCGTTTGTTTCGCTCTTTTGGGACGGATTCACAACGGCTTTCTTCGCAGGAGTTAGTGATGTACATTATGAATAGTGCATGACCTGTGCGTCTGCTGAGGGTGTCTGTGCCCTAATAAGCAATAGATGTCAGGTCTCACCATATAAACTCACGCTAAACCGTCACTAAGAGTTCCGAAATTCTTTTGTTAGTAGAAAACTCTATCGTAGACCGTTCCAGCTTCGGTTACTGTACAAATATTATTGACACATTTTTTTTGACCCGGAGCATTATTAACCAGCTTTTTTCATAATGGCTTCATTTTGAGTTAGAGGATTACAGAGAGGCTCAATCTTAGTGACCTGTAATCCGTTTTAACTTCAAACGTTTTTATTCTATGCCGTTGTGTTTTCAATCATTAGGTTTATTGTAGAGTTCGAAAAACCCTCACACCCTCAAAGAACTCGATGTAAAGTCAGGTGAACGTTTCCAGAGATCAAGTGCTGCAACTGCAATAGGACAGTGTTACCGTGACGCTTTTGTCAACCAAGTGCACTTTACACTGGATTTCAACTTAAATTTATCACTTGAACTTGTGTGCGAGTGCTAATCAATGGAATTAAAAGGCCTTTCAAACTTATTTTGATCACTGTGGTGCATTTTCCCCAGAATTTCTTTGATTTTTCCTTGGGAAAACGAACCCTAAGTTTTTATATGGTGATTGATCTGAGATTGCTCTGAGAGATTGGCCTAAAAGGTTAGTATGTGCCTATTTTTTGTTAATAATACACCAGCAGAAGCAAAGTCCTAACATGCCGTTTGTGCTCATTACAACCTAATGCTTTATTTGTGTCCACGAAAAATTCACCGTCCGTTCGAGTCCTATTTACTGACTCTTCTGAATTATTTATCACCGCCGTCTGGAACTCTGTACTGGTACGTTCAGTGATCTATAATTCACAATTCATGGCTAAGCTGAGTATAAATTTGGCACATTTGCCCGCAAAGTCCCAATCAGTATCTTTCCTCCTAACTCATTGTGCCAGCAAAGACCTACATCATGTTGAATAGCCGCAAACAGAAGTAATTTTTCCACCATTAGGTAAGTGAATGAGTGAGTATGCACTTAAATAAGCGAAGTAAGTATGCAAGCAGGTATGAAAGTAAGTAGATGGCTAAGTAGTCAAGTAAGTAGACGGAGTAGTGCAGTGGAAGAACTCCTTAAATTCAAGCAGAAATGTTCAAAAACGGTTTGTTTCCCGAAAGTTATCTGTCAGCACAGTGAGATTACTGAAATTCCCACATGGTCCCACATTAAAGCGTAGAAATAGGCTGCGACAATCTATTTTTCTTTCCATCTTTCTCCATTTATCTTTGAAGTTAACTTTGATATTCACTCTAGGCTCTGATCGTTTACGGAAAGAGCCGTATTATAAAAAAATATTTGTTCTCATTTACCTCACAGCTACCAAATAAACACGGAGAGCAATAATTAGGGAAAAATTGGTTTTGCACACTTTAGCTGATCCGCCAGATGTAGGTAATTGTGGATCCTAAGGCACTGATTAGGACGGATTATATGTTTTCATATTTTATTATATTATATTTATT